CACACAGGTTGTGAGAGAAGTGAAACTGCGGGGAGGTGGAGACTCCCCAACACTGAGTTTCCCGCTTCAGTCTCCGCCCTGGAGCTGAGACCCTGAGACCAGGCCTGGGACCTGGGACCTTGTCTTGACCCCTCCCCCTGCACGGAGAGCTCTGTCACACCGTCTCCCTCAGTCCTGCCCAGGGGCTGTGTGGGAACCAGTGAGACTCCCCAGGCTGGGACCAGCCCTTTCCTCCCCTTCTCCTCCTGGAACCCCTCTCCCTGAAATGCCCTCTGCTTCCCACCTGTTATCTCTGCCCCTGGACACTGTTTGGTCGCTGAAGGAGGAATGCACGAGGCCAGAATGGTGAATTTATTCGATCATCCGCACAGCAGGTGGCTGAGCCCCAGTGACAGGAGTCAGCTGTTTTTAAAGGACTTTTGGCAGGCTTTTCTGGGCGGAGAGTTCTCTGTGCAGGTCTGGAGGGGAGAGATAACAGAATGTGGTCTCAGCAAAAGGGAATGTCCATAGTGAAATGGTCTGAAAAGTCAGTTCCTGGGGGAGGTGTAATAATTCAATTGCTCAATCAAACCTAACAGACACTTCTAGAAAAAAAACTCTCCCTGGGAACTTGATGCCAGAGAGTGAGCTCACCCTGTGAAAGGGGAAGGAGGGTTTTCTCTTTAATCATGTAGGAATCTTACCTGAAAATATTGGATAGAGATTCTCAAAGATAAGTCAACTGCAGTGGGGAACACAACCTGGGAAACCTGAGCATCAGGAAGCTCATCTGTGAAATGAGTGATTTCAGAGGCTTCATATGCAAAGTGTCTAAATAGCCCTGGAGTGAGAGTTACAAAGCTCCTCAACTCTCCTTCCCACACAGGAAGTGTGTGACTCGGGACTGGTTATTCACCTTCCCCGGTCATTCCACCAAATAAAATATTGCTTGCGTTAATTGATTAGTTTCTTCAATGCTCTAAATTTTATTTTTGAAAAAGTTTGAGATAGAGGAAGGAGATACAACAATATTTGGCAGATTTTCTTAGTAATGCCGTTAATCATAACGTTCCCTACAGTAAGTGGAAACAAAGTTGAGAACACACAGTAGCTAGATCAAATAGTTTAAGGACTGGGCATCTCAAATGGAGCATTCCTGTTCATGTCGAATTGGTGCCAGCAACCATCAGTGGGCACAGTCCTGTCCCTCAGATGTAACCTCTCACTGATTCCTGTGCTTCTTATACCCTTGAGATACTCTAAAGATTTTCAATAAGTATATACATATGTCCAACCAGAATCTTAGTTTTGCCAGTTTTACATTTGCCTGCACAGAGGACTGGTACTGCATGACCCTCGGAGACTCAGCGTTCCCTAAGGGTCATCTCTCCCCTGTGAGGCTGTCCTTCCATGTTGAGTGCTGAATCTTACATGTTATGATTATCCTGAAATCTTGCTATATTCTTATTGAGGTATATGTGGTTGTTCCAGTTTTTGCTCTAAACATTCGTGTACATGTCTCCTGGGGCACAAGACAAGAAATTCCCCAGAGGAGGTGGTCAGGGGTGGGAATGCCCCTGTGGGGCCTGTACTTTAACCAAACTCGAAGATGCTCATGTGATTTAAAAGTGCCTGTGCCAATTTAAACTTTTACCAGGATGTGGAAGACTTCATGTTGCTGATATAGTTGCTCTGAAAATAAACCAAACACAGCTTAAGTAGAAGCATTAAGAGTTGAAAGTCAGTTCTTTGGTTCCTGGCATTGCAGAATCACGGAGACACTTTCTTTTCAGACTATAATTAGTTCCTTTACTTTTATTCCATAGCCCTTGTATTTATACTTTTAACATATACACCCATGTAATG